TCTGCCCTTCGTATAACATTACCCATCTATATTTGTATATCTATCATTCTACTAATTTGTCCATCTACTCTTTATTTCTCTATACCTCTATTCAGTTATCTCTCTCTCTCTCTCTCTCTCTCTCTCTCTCTCTCTCTCTCTCTCTCTCTCTCTCTCTCTCTCTCTCTCTCTCTCTCTCTCTCTCTCTCTCTCTCTCTCTCATACCTTTATTCCTGTATCCCTCTATTCCTGATATACAGGAATTTACAAAATGCAGTGTGACCTGGTTTATGCGTTTATTTGCCTCATAGATTGTAATCTAAAAATCCATTATCATACGAAGACGTTGTACATACTTTCTTTATCTATATCCTAATATCCAACTATTATTAAAGCTGATGCTGACTAATTCAGTTCCAATCCCTAGTGAATGTGTACTCTTTATTGTCTGTTTTGTATTTACGTCTGTCTGTCTCTGTCTTGAGGGGGTGATGGATAGTGGTTTAAGGCGCTCGCATTTACACGTCGCTGACATTTCTTATCCACCGCATTATGTAAAAAAATCTTAGTTAACCCTGAGAAATTTAAGTTGATACTTGACATACTCTTTAAGAGTTTTGAAAGGATAATCGAAAGAATGATCCATAATATTATCATATAACTGACAAACCTGTCATATGTTGACAATATCCCAATGCATATTATATAATTTATTTTCTAGCTAATATAACTTTAATACCTTGACAAGATATTCGTCTGTCGTTGTCTGATATTTTCGGAGACCTGAGGTACAAAAACTTGGAGAAAAGAATCGTTTATTGAATGCAGGATGTGATACATGTAGTTTGTTTTAATCGTTGGGTATGTGGACAATATGGCACAACTTGAATATAAAAATGAGTCATTAAGGAGTACAAAATTATAGGGCGGCTAATTACGGGTACAGTGCAGGAGCTGTCATAAACGATATCATTTATTTGCTTGTCTGTCCATTTCAAAAGAAAACAACATGGAAATATTTACAATAATATTATCATTTTTGTGGAAATTGCAACATTTCGACCATTATGTGTGCAAATTGAAGAAGCTATAATGTACTGTCTTTCTTAATGCTTTGCATAACATAAAATAGCAGTTATTTTAAAATATGTGTGTAATTATGAATATTAAAAAATAAATAATATAATAAATTGTAGTTTATAACATGATGCTTCAGGTTTTCAAATATATATATATATATATATATATATATATATATATATATATATATATATATATATATATATATATATATATATATATATATATATATATATATACAGAGAGAGAGAGAGAGTGTATTATTATCCCTATATTAAAGTATTATTATATCGCATGTAAATCATTTCGCCATTTATCAATATTATTAATACCAAACAAAGAAAAATTATATTGTTTGAAACGGTATAGAAAACTAATAGAAGCAAATTATTTTCTTGGCTTTTTTATTATTTATCCAAGCAAAATGCCCGTACAATATTTGGCATATTTCTATCTTGTTCGTCCTGAATCTAAATGTTGGATTACTGAGCCGACGGCGGGGACAGTGCCTTGCGTGAGTAATTGTATCGCTGAGCAAGCAAACATTTTATTTCCTGTTAAATATTTGTCTCCAAGTTCGCCAAGTGTATTTTACTCGCGTAGGGTTTTGAGTATCACTCGAAAAGCAGGAATGATTCAAGAGCTTGATTGAGAGGTGACATTAACCACTTAATAAAAACTACTTATCTCCTTTATGATTCCCTGATGCATCGAACCATATATTCATCGAACACTCCGACCATCTATCCGTCCGTCCGTCCATCAATCCTATTATAAATCTTCTACCCACAGAACCTACCTACGAACTCACTCGTCTAGCAAATACCGTAACAAGATATCTAAATAACTTTATCAATTCGTCTACAAACAACTTTATCATTCGATCTACAAACCTAATTACGTATATATATTATATAAATAAGTCCCTTTCATATTTACGCTTGTAAACATATCGTATGGTGATATTTCTATTTGGTGCTTTCTCTACGATTCAAATAGTATCAAATTAAAATAAATGTTCTCGTTAATTTGGGAGCATTGCACGCATACAGACTGTAGAGAATATAACAGTAAGTTATATCATATTATATATAAAGACGAAAATAATTCTATTCATGCATGCTTGAACTTTAAACTTTAAATTTTGTCAAGATCCAGAATTAGATTAAAATAGTTATAATGCTAGAATTGGTTGAAACGTATCCTTAAGTACCAAAAACAAGTAATGTAATAGATACCTGTTGATAAAGGCAATATCTTTCATCCTTATTTTCAGCGTACGTAAAATAGACATTTGTTATATTGATATATATTTGTTCTCTAATGGTCTTATATGTGGCAAAAGTTTATAAGAATTCAGGAAACCTCTACTGGAATACAGAACAGAACAAGAAACAAAAACAACCAAAAAGGAACAACAGAAAAATGTGGAAAGGTACTTGGACATAAATTCTAGAGAATGGTTCCCTATAATCATCAGGACTTAATGGTCTGGGGGCCCCGAGTGGCCGAGTGGTCTAAAGCGCTGACCGTTACGGATCACTGCCATCTCACCTGTCTTCGTGAGTTTTAATCCAGACTCGGCTAACGTGGGTAAGTGAGAAAGCCTGCCAGTAGCTTATCGTGGGTCGGTGGTTCTTCCCGGGGTTTTCCAGGGTTCTTCCTCCACCATAAACCCTACAAAAACAAAAACAAAAAAAAAACTTAATGGTCTGGAAAGAAAGATCCTGCAAATACGGGAGACTTAAAGCTGCAAGAAAACATTCTTGTGTCTAATACGAAATGGGCTCATTTTCCTTGCTTCCAATAAATCAGTTATTGTAGTGAACTTAACACATAGCCAGGCCCGGACCTAGGATGTGCGGGGAAAAGGCAGCATACGGGGCCCAAAGCAGAAAGCGGAGAAGCGCGAAGGACCTAAGCGGTTGCCTCGTTCACCTTGCCCTAGGGACGGGCCTGCATTTAGCTATATATCCTCATAGGAAGTTCTACAACCTCATCCGCATAGGACGTTCTACAAACTCCTAACACTATCCTCATAATATGAGTGATATCTTTGCGTCAACAGTTAAAATAAACAAGATGTTAAAACAACAAATATCGGTAAAAGGAAAGAACGACTTCTTAATGTTTCTTGTTATTATCGGATTTGTTTGTTAAAATAATGTACAATTTAAACGTCCTTCACAAAAATGGATCACATATGTTTCCTTGATACACCTGTTAAGCCAACGGTATACATATACGAGTGATATACCTAGCATAGTACATATTTCATTTACTTATTCGAGATGATTATATTTCATGCAACTACTCAGGTTGTTTGTGAATGTAATATGCAAGCTGAGAAATTAGAATTTTAGTCCACTATTTTAATAGCATGTGGTAACATTGATTTGCCATAAAACTTTTTTTTTAACGACAATATGTATTTGCGCGCTTATTTCACATTATCCTGACACAAGGCCGACCACTCCTAACACTATCCTCTTAATGCTGAGCGCCAAGCGAGGCAGCTGTTAGTAACATTTTCTATAAGTCTTTGGTAAGACCCGGCCGGGATTCGAACCCGCGACTTAACGCATCTGAAGCGGAGGCTCTAACCGCTTAGGCAAAAGGAGGGGTTAAACTTGAGTAGTGATAATGTGAACAACACATGTTATACTGTTGCACAAACCGATTAAAGTAAATATAATATATAGTGCCTGTACAAAAGATCAAAATATGTTATGGGAAATTATTTTTTATTTATAGACTTTGTTTGCTTTTTGCAATTAAAGTCTGCACAGACGTTAGGGGGGATCGGTTGATAACTTGTACAATTTTGTCTTCTATGCAGGTATGTACCAGACTAAGTTTATTAAACAGTTCTACTTGTATAACTCTGTAAGAAATCAAACCAGGGAAGTCCATTCGTCTGACACATGTAAGAAAACATTTTGGCATATTTGATACTATTAACAGAGTAGACCCGTATCTGCGGTATTGAAATATTGCCCAAGTTAATGGAATATTATTGACGAGGAGTAAGGTCGCAATAAACATACACTTTCCCTTGTTCACTAATTATATGCTTCAATCATAAGTCATATACATTACTGTTTAAATTAAATATGGTGGATAGATTTCTAGAATAACTGATGAGAACCAGGTTATAATAGGAGCCGAACAGAATATAAATTTCACTGGATATAACTTAAACAGTTGTGTGACTTTGTTAGTCAATTAGGTGTGTAAATATAACGTTTTTTAAATTTGAAGAGAATTTTTAAATGTATAGCATTTGGATTTATCGAATGATCTACGGACACAAAGCTCGATGCATTACCTCACTTTTAATATAGTTAGGTAACACGTCTCAACCACGTGCATACCTCAAACCAAGCCGGATATTGCTCACCAATCAGACGACCTGTGAATATAATTAACTTGCAGAATTACAAGAAAACATTCCAAGGAAGTAAAATTCACCGGCACAATCAAGTTGTTTATCAGTAAGCCTTCAATAATGTATTGTCAGGCGATACCCTGCCTTTGAAGATTCCAGAAAAAACAGCTTATACAGCCGTCAGATTTCAGCATTTAATTCTTTAAACATCCCTCAAGTATTATGCACATTTTAGCATGAGACGTGTATGAATGCTTGTAATAGATACCGATTCCAAGAAAGAAGCATAGGCAATTTTCGTGAAAGGTCAAAAAAAGAATAAATACATACATACATACATACATACATACATACATACATACCTTCACAATTTTTCAGTCATATCGCTACGATGTCTGCAGTGTGGCACTTTATAGTGATGTCTAGCACTGGAGCATCATGCCGCACCAAGTCACATTATCCTGACACTAGGCCGACCAGTCCTAACACTAACCTCTTAATGCTGAGCATCAAGCGAGGCAGCTGTTAGTACCATTTTTGTAAGTTTTTGGTATGACTCGAACGGGGATCGAACCCACGTTCTCCCGCATCCGCATCCGAGGCGGACGTTCTAACCACTAGGCCACCGGAACGGGTATATATATATATATATATATATATATATATATATATATATATATATATATATATATAGATATATATATATATATATATATATATATATATATATATATATATATATACATGAGGATAATCAAGGCGTGAAATTAAAAAATGTAATCTAATGGCAATCAGATTAAATTGAGCAATCATAAGCAATGAATTTTGATGAGTCCGGGCAATAATGAGCTTAAGTAGTTTGCTAGGTATATGTATGACAAATGAATATTACCACACGATTATTAACAGTCATTTGCCTCCATATCAATATGTACAAGCAAGACCTACATGTATTGAAATGATAAATGTGTTTATGGAAATGACTGATATATTATGCTTGATATACGGGCCATCTATTCTTTGTGACAAATTTTTCAGTGAGAAATATTCAATACGCTGCATTGTGAATTGCGTTGAATTGAAACACTAGTCTTATAGAGTTATGATATAGGCAAGAAGTCGTGGAAAAATATGTCTGGCCTTTCTAAAATGTGCCACTTAGTTATATATTGGAAAACCAAAGACAATACAATACATGTACCTTTGGGTTTGAAAATCATTATATATAGCGATAAAAAGTTATTTTTATTGCTTTTACAAATATTAGAAAAGCACGTGTCATTCTCTTGGGAAGTTTCAGCTTCACCAAACCACGGTTTCTTTGAATTAACATAGGAAGATATTATTAGCCTAGTTGGGCATTGCTTTTCCATTTCATTTTGGGTATTGAGCTACAATAATTGATCCCGAGGTGAAAGTGCGAATACCCCTTCTAATCATCTGCGTTTATGTATGCATGTATTATTGAATCGATGACCACTTATGGTGATGTAGGAGCCAGTCATATCAGGATATTTTTCACCACTAATATTTAACCAAAATAAAACTTCAATAATTTTCAAGAAAAAATGAGATAGCATGCAAATTTCCTGGAAGGAAATATGATTATAATACAATGGCACGCGCTGACATTTCAGGGATTTATGCTGGCAGGAGGGATAGGTTTATCACGAATTTACAATCGCTAAAGAACCTGTGTCTAGTCCGTAATCAATATTTATTTATTAGATATTCTTTGCCGATCGCTGAACCGGATATATCGAAACTATTGTGCAACTGCATGTATGGATCACGTGCTTTGATGACACGTATTCATATGTTTGGAAAACAGCTAACGTCTTTGCTACATAATTAGTCTCAATGCCTGTTCCAATCGTCTTGAGATCTTTTACGCCAAAAAAAAAAATGATCTCTGTAAAATACGATCAATCCACAAAATATTTTATTTTGAAAAGAATATAGTGTTCATGGATGGTCTTTTTTATTTGTTTTTTTTGGTTCCGGAGAATAATAAGAAATACGTTAAACATACAGTAACGTTACTACATAGTGTTATTACACTATATAATTTTGCTACACATAGCTAAGTTGAATATAGTTAATATCACTAATGAGATAGCACGTTCCGAATACTTTGCTATAAGGTTTCACCAAACACTTTGTCTAGCGCGCAGCTGACTTTAATATATATTTTATAGGTAAAATCATTTCATATAAATGAATGTCTAAAAAACGTTTATGCCACTATTACAGGTGGAAAATGACAGATCTGTCAGCCAATTGTCATATAAATGACTTCTGCTCAAATTTATGCTGCTTATACGTGGACAGACTGGACGACCAAATTAATAATGTTTTATTACTTGTTTACTAAATATCATTTTGAAATGTTGTTGTTGTTGTTGTTGTTTTAGCTTAACGCCATTTTTCAGCACACGATAGGCTATTCATGGCGGCCAGTATTAATGGTGGAGAAAGAAACCGGGAAATCACCAAAAAGAACCACCGACCCACGAGATGCTACTGGCAAGCTTACTCACATATCCACATTCGCCGAATCCTAGACATTTTGAAATAAATACAAATGCAAGTTTTTATTTGTCATAATACGAGCAGTATCTGTTTTATTTGACGAAACAGAAATTGTGTAAGTAAACGACTCTGAAATATGATTTTGTCTTTTATTTCAATCACCTTGATCAGGTATTATTTAACGTAAATGTTTATTGATTATAGTGTTTGTAGTGTTGAGGATTGAGGACGAAAGAGAAATACCTCAATAAAATTTCAGCTCTATGTAGTGGTCTCCAGAGCGTAATACTAAACAGATGTTTTATATTTAAAAAAAAATGCGCATTAAAGGAAAACAAATGACTTGTTGTGATAAAAATATCTTATTAAATGTAAAATGGGTAGTGAAATAGATATTTAAAACATTTTTGTTTTCACCACATTTCTTACTTGTAGTTCCTTCACCTTTTGAAGCAGTGACTTTACGAACATGGGAAATTTTTCAAATCAAAGAGAACAACATTGAAAACTTAATGTCATCTTCTTTGACTGTTGTACTATGGCATTGCAGGAACAAACGAGACAAATTTTTAAATTTTTTAGAAAGTTTTGGATAGTTGTGCATGTGTCACGTTTCTTCAAGCGTGGCTAGCCGGATGCATAAACGCGGGGTATTTTCTACGCGTTTGATATAAAAGAATCGCCGGCCAGTATCAAGCGATTAGGTAAGTCGCCAGAAACTCCGCTCTCGGGTCCAATCTTGCAGCTCCCAACCATGTGTTGTACCTTGGTCGGAGATCAAAAGGAAGACCAAAGGGAAAAAGGGGACCTGTTCTACCCGCCGCTTAGAAAGATAAACGAAAAACATTGACAGCTTTGTGATTGGGTCAGTCCATGAACTTCCAATCGGAATTCAGCAAGAGGGTGGGCCTACATCTCAGATTCGAAAAATATAAGGGCCACGGGAAAAAAATCTGTTAGTATATCTGGAAGATTGTGAGGGATCCATCTTGCTGTCACGATTTTTAACGTGGAAGAGAACACAAAAAAATATTTGGACGTGTTAAAGAGCTCTGAACTTATTAGTTATCTTTTTGTAATTGCGGGCTTAAGTGCACATTTGAATAATATTATTACTAGTGTTTCCCACCTGCAAAATTTCCATTATCTAAATGGAACGCCTTGATTCAACCCATAGTTGGTATTTGCCAAGGTGTACGTATGTAAACATGTATCAGGCGTTTAGTAAATTTTCGCAAAGAATAGCCGACTTGATTATTAAAGACGTAAACGGAAAACGACTACAATAATATTAAACTGATGATTGAGTAAGTATTTATTATGTTATGCGAGTAAATGTTAACTTCCTTTTCGATTCATTCTCCAAGGTCTGCAGGTGTTTGGGGTTTTGGAAGCGCTTGAGTACTATACAAAAGCAGAATTCACCAGAGATGTGATATTCATCACGTAGACAGTGATGAAAATAAACGTATCTCTCCTTTTCTAAATCCTAAGCGCATATATCTTTCCATCCTTTCCTTCGTCTGTCTATCTATCTATCAATCCCAACATAATTTTCTATCTACCAAACTGCTGGGGGCCCCTAGTAGCATAGTGATCTAAAGCGCTCTCCATTTCGGATCACTGCTTGGGATCGTGTCTAAGATTAGGCGAATGTGGATATGTGCGAAAACAGCTTCTCGTAGATCGGTGGTTCTTTCCGCTTATATCCCGGTTTCTTCCTCCACCATTAATAATGGCCGCCATGTATAGCCGCCTATCGTGTGCTGAAAATGACGTTAAGCCCCAGAATAACAACAACAATAACTAAACTGCATACTGACCCTGCCATTAAAATAAAAAACAAGATAGTTACATACTGTGATCATTAACTCATTATAGTCCCATTGATTCATTTCTCTATCTAGCTTTGGCAAGTTTATCAACGTCTATATTTTTAAAAAAATCGTATCAACACTATTAAATATTATTCTCGAACTTAACAGGACAAAAAGGTTAGAGATCTCTTCATCGTGTTTGAAAGAGAGAAATTTTTACCTTGGTTAAAATGGGTTTTACTTAGCTATCTCGTCTGAAAGATTGTTATATTGTTCAATGGCTATGTGTGACACCCGATATAAGGTCTATAATGTCTGGTGTATGATTTATGGGATACAGAGACATGGATGTGTCACACCCGATATAAGGTCTATAATGTCTGGTTTATGATTTAAGCGCTATTGAGACATGACACTTAACTACGGAATGTGAGACAAAAATCTAACAATCTACTGAGTCATGCATTAAACTATCTGCAATCGAACCATCAATTGTCTTTGAACAAGTTATATCCTTACCCAGCTATTTGCCGAAAAAGCTATAATTCTACCTATGTACCGGTGAAGCTTGTTTCATCGGTTTCCAACTACCAATCTAAATGCCAATCCTCTAATGTACTATCTTGCATTCTCTTATAATGGTGAAAGTCATATCAATGTTAAAATGTATGTAGCGGTGATTGTATACTGTCAGATTAAAAACCAGATTCTCATTACCATGTTCTAAATCGATTAATTTGGTAAGTTTATAATCCGGACAAGAAGTATCTAATATGGGATCGTAGTTAAAAAAATTTAATTATGTTTCAAGCACTGACTACATTTTCTGATTTAGAGTAGTCATAATATTAATTAGAAAAAGTTCTTGCACATGGCGAATGAGGGCAAATCGTGCCACCATCACATTTTGCATGATACATAGTATGTGCAAATCACTTAATAACCATTTGCATGAATTTATCTAAAGCTATTGGAGTTATCTGTCGGTCATAGTAGAGAGTAACAGTTTTGTCAATGCAAACTTAACCTGCGAAGAAATTATTGATTTTTAAATGTTTTTCTCTCTTTCTTGCTCAATATTTATTATATTGAGATACATTGATGTCTATGTACATCGCATTATCTGACCTTTGAATTATTTATAATTTTAATGCATTTACAACAGGTAGTCAACTATTTTTCCGGATAAGGACACAAAGTGTTGTTGGTAGATTTGAACGTGAACTATTACATATGTGTCACAAATTGCTACGGAAAGTAAAGATAACTAAACGTAGACATGT